GGTGAAAATTTCATTTCTTAGTTATCACTGTATATTTCTCGGTTCTTTCCCGTGCAAAACAGTTTTTGCAATGTTACGCACTTGTAAGACGGAGACAACACATGCGGGTGAAACGTCCTCTTAAGCATAGTACCCGAGTCAGATACAATATAATTGGCGGTTACGTGAAAAACGTACGGTTAATCATTGCAGTTTTATTTCGTTTTCGTAACCTGTGGGTTTTAATTCAATTCCAGAGATGCATTATGATGAAATCGCGTACGCGACTACTTTTAATTTTTTTACTAAGATTTCCGGAAATTTCCCACTTCCAAGCGCTGCTACGGAAATTACTAAAAATATATTATTTCTCAATGTGTACCTACTCACTACTGTTTTTACTCTCTATGCCATATCCATCGAATCGTACCACGCCACCGGTATCACAGTGATTGTGTCGTCTCTGTGTGTTTATAAATACCATTATAATACTATAGTATATTATACTTATAATTACACGAATTCGTGTTCCCGTCATAAAAAATATTAAATTATAACTATGTTTCTGATTTTATAGGACCACCCGGAATACTAAAATGGGTTTTGATTGAAGTTTATACAACCCATTCCAAAAATACAATGAAATTTTAATTAATATATTATGCATAGTGTAGTAACAACAAATCGACAATGGATTATTTTCAAACATATTGGATAATCATTATCTTACATTATTTTGCCGTCATTACTTTAAATTTTTACCCTAATGCATAACAAGATCAAGATGATTGATTAAAGAATGTATACATTGTTGTTTTTCCGTATTTTGTACAGGTATAAATAGTAGGTATATAATAGTATAAATAACTATGAATGAATTCATTAAAAATGTTATTTATTCAAACAATTTAAAAATCATCATTATTTAAATACTTTTTTTTTGTCTACCTATAAGCAACAATCATTATTAGTCGAATAATATTATTGTTTGAAGCCTTAATAAACTTTAAAAATAAAAATAAAAATATTATTGTGTTATGATTACATAAGATTCAAAAAATCATGTTGTTTTATCATGACAGATTATTATACTCAGAATTATTTCAAATAACAATTTTAGGTCGTAGAAAATTAAACACATGTATACATAACATATCATAATATTTGATTAACTTTATAAGTATATAATAAATACTAAATTAAATACTGAATTAGATCATTTATTTTTTAAAATATATTTTGGAGGTGATGTGATTTTAAAATAAAATTTAAGAATAAATCAAAACTATTTTATTTAATTATTTTACGTCGGTGCATCAACATAATATTTGATGTAATAATTAATACAAGTTTTTTAATTGTTAGATTAGTTTAAATGCAAAAGAAAAAAAATGTTATTTTCGTTGAAATTAACGAATACGATCCGTAGAAAATGCCTTAAAATATTACCTAAGTGGATTTTTCTCACGCACATCTATAATAATACAAAAGTCTTTTCGCCTTGACTAAGTTTTGAATTACCATTTTTACGATTGGTTGCACAAAAAGCTCACAAATGGCCTTCAAAGTTCGATATAATAAAAAGTAATACAAAACTCGTATCATTAGGTTTAACCTTATGGATGAAACGTGGAACGTTTTATCTCTATATTATAATATAATCGATATGAATATCGTATTACAGATAATTACAAAGCCGTGACATACTTAAAATAATATGTATAATATACCGATCATCGAGTTGTGTACATCGATGAGTATATATTTTAAAAGACATGATCATAATAATTTATTTATAGAAAAATGTTATTAACTATYTATTATATTATCAGTATGACGTACTGTGTTCATAATGAAAAATAACATTACTTTATAGTTTATACTATTATATTTTAATACGCGTTAAATTTTTTCCGTATTTCATCAGCGTAGGTAGTAAAATCTGTTTGGTAATACCAAGTGGAGTGTATATAGGAAAGGATTTTTGGGGTTCAACCCCCTCCCCGAAATGTATAGTTTATACGGGCGTTAATTGTATAAATAATAAGAATTTAAGTCTGTCTAAAAAATTAGATTTTGTCCTACATGTTCTTGTGAGGGCCCATGAGTTCACAATTTTAAATATAAATTTATTAAACAGTTAAAATAAATTAAATAATTACAATTTTGTGATATTATAGGATACAAATATAAATTATGGTAAAAATTAAGATTATAAATAAATATATTATAATATATTATATCTATACATTTTATTAAATTAATGCTGTTAATAATATTAGTTTATAATATTAATTAAAAAATTATTTTATTTTAACCTCCTACCCCTAATATCAATTTCTTTTTACGCCACTGTAATTGGTATAGAACTCAGATACGACTAACGGTATGATATACTAATATTTAGTACGTGTGCAGTTACCCAATCTCTTTTGATATATTATTGAACTTTTTCCAGGACAAACACTTTAAAAGTAGATACGATGAAACAATACTGATCATAAGTATATTATATAATAATATGGTCTTAGTTAACGCACCCGGTCGTCCATTTTAGGGAAAATATTCTTCTTCCGCCAATGTTGTTTTAACTGAACAACAATGGGCATACTTGGATGACATTAAACAATATTTAGGTTATGATGCTGATATTGAATAATTTACAAAGCACCCAAAAACTTCCTTCTAAATTCCATATAACCTGACAACGGCTCTAAACTCATTTACACGTTAATTTCGTTAATTTTTTTTTTCGTCGTTTCTAACAAAACGTATTTACAATCAGTATTTTTTTTATACACAAYAAATTAGATAAATTTTTGTGCTTAGCAGAAAATACTATTTTTGATTATACGGTACGTTAAACATAATTAAACAATGCAAAAAAACCACGCGTGCACAGAAAGAGCGGGAGGCCTACCAATTTGTGAATCCTCAGAGTTATGTAATTATGTTTGTTACTAGATTTAATTTTGGAAACTCAATGACGTACAATATTTTCAATACAATATCATTGCGTGCCCACACAAATATGGCTTCCGAGAAGTTATGCAAATGCAATTAATAAAAGCTATTTAAAAAACGAACGAGTAAAAATCACACGAGTTATCTTTTCAATATTATTTCCTTTTATCCATAATTTAAAACCGTTTAAACTGTATTTAGCTCATAGTATTTCCTCAATAATTGTATCCTATAAATACTCAACTGAATCATTAATTTCTTTTGATAATATTATATACACCAAGTTGTATTTGAAGACATTAATTATTAGGTACCCTAATATTGTAAAATCTGTCTTATGGTCGGTAGTTGTTTAATAATAGTCCAACATCATACAAACATTGATTTTGAAAATAAAAATAGGCACACACGTGTTATGGACGAAATACCAAGTCGAAATAAATATATTTCAGAAGACGGTTAAAATATTGTTTATTAGAAAAACAGATGGATAGCGAACTCTGTGCGCAAATCATACTGAAATTTTATTTACTTTGATTATATTTTGGCTAAGACGAACACGAACGATAAAAATGTTAAGAAATCGAATTTTGCGTACTGGTTTTAATTTTGTATATTAAGAACCTGGAGGAGGTCCAACGGAAGAACACATTAAATATCGAATGGTTATTTTTATGTTATTTTTTCTCTTATTTTGATAATATAAAGTATTTACCATAAAAACGGTTAGGTTAGGTACCTACACAYATAATAAAATATTATATTCGTGGGCTTATACTTATATGGCTTATTATTATTATTTGCATGCGACGACCAAAAACAATGAGTGGGTTGTTATCGATGAGCGATATACCTACACTCGAGTTTTATAATAATATATCTAAGAAATAAGGCTCTCTAAAATGTATTCCGAAGTAACACGTCGTTTAAACGTCATCGAGTGACGGCGTTATAGATTTTTTTATTTCCAAAAAATTGGTCCAACACCTCATCAACGTGTTTTTGGCGTGTGCATTTTTTAGGTGAAGGTCGTCGTCGTGTGTGAAATTTGCGTGAAATTCAATTGTGACAAATCGTTTGGCGACGCCTCGTGTGGAACATTTAGCAGACGTATTATACTCGGACGGGAAAATGTTTAGCTAATTTTGATGTCTGACTCATTACGACGACGACAATAAATTAACGTCAACCCCTCACCCGCCATCGACCACCCCACTTGGATGGGTGACCGTATTGGATGACATTGTCAAAACAGCGCACCGGTCATAATTTAAGACACTTGGACGGCTAATTAGAATACAGAACAGGCGGGATGGTCGCCTCGAGACAATATCGTTGTTATTATTATCGTTTCCGTCGTTGCAGCTGTAGAATTTTTTGTGATTGTTCGAAATATTTTATTTTTGGAAGCGAATAGTTTTAGAGAATAATAATATTATTACCGTGTTATGAGTTTTTCCTCGTTCAAATCTCAATGGTGTACGCAGAGTGAAGGGAGGAGAAGTACACATAGTGTGCCACGACTACTGTTACGATCTACTCTCGTAAACTCTATATTATATCGGTCAATTAAATTATCTATTACCGGGTATAGTAAAATAATATGACGGTGTTYGCTTTTATAGTTCTGTTTACTCTATAAATAAAACAATATTTATAAACCGCGCGCATTAACTACTACTCATAATAATACAGTAAAGTTGCGAAAGTTCCCGGTAAACATTAATACCACCAATTTTGCATACTAATATACGCAATTTTCACATTATTTATGCCGTTTTCACATTAATCATTAATGTTAGATAAATATTACTCTATCGTCGACGTTACTGTTGGCCGCGAAGATTTAATAAATTTATAACTCTCAACAGTCTCAACCTATATAATATTATCTATATTTTTATTGAAAATATGTCGAAGGTCATCAGAAATATTTAACTGACCATCACACATGTACAAATTACATTATTTCTGTAAAGTTCTACTAACCACTATCGAAGTCATACCCTCGTCAAAAACGATAATAATAATAATAATAATATTTTTACGATACTAACCTTTGTGTGATCAATCAACACTCGGCCTTCAATACGAGTGGCGATTTTAGTGTTAAGGTATCAGTCGAATCGTCACTGCATGCAAACCCGACGAAAGTCACCCGTCGATCGGGCCGAACTCGGTCGCTGAGCAGAGCACATCAAGAGTACTTCCTCCTCCTTCTGCTGCTGCTGCTGCTGCTGCTGCTAATGCTTTAACTCTTCCACCGATTGCTGATGATACCACTACTGAGGTCACGTCTACAGCTACCACCGGACCACGGTACCGGACCGGACGGCGGTGGACCCCGCGACCGTGACGGCGTACGGCCGGCATCGTAATAATATTATTGTCGTTGTTGTTGTCGTCGTCGTCGTTATTATTAAAATTACTACCGTTACTACTGCAGACGTTATCGGTGTTCAACACGACACCATCGTGTCGCACGTATAATATATTTAAGGTTAAAATTCKTGTGGCAGAATCACCACATTGTCGGGGGTACACTCGGCCTAGAGAGTAGTAATTTATCGGACATAGGTCTAAACGAGTGATATGATTGAACTGCGAAACTGCAGCTGCCGTGACAATACCTATTGCTATAACAATATATAATTATCTTACAGACTCGCGCACAACTGCAATTATTACTACGGACGGCGGAAGTCGACTTCCGATTCGAGTTGGACGATCGTGGCGGCGGCGGCGGCGACGACGACGGCGAGGCGCACACTACCGCACGGCTGTTCGGCTGAACGCGAACTATCAACTAATACCATATAACTATTTACTATACGCGTTATACGCGCCGCACGGAAAGCACTGTGTGTGCGTGTGTGTGTGCGTGTGCGTGTGTGTGTGTGCGTGTGTGTGCGAGCGTAAAAGTACGTGACCGTGTATGTGTGCGCGCGTAAGTTTGTATGTGTGCGAGTGAGTTTTTATGTGCGTAAGTTTGTGTGAGTGTGTAGAGACCCTGTGTGGACGTGACCGCGACACCAAACACACACACACACACACACACACACGCGCGCGCGCCAAGCGCCAGGCGGACGCACTCGCACTCGCGCACGCGCATCGTCTCTAACGGTCGCGCAAGCTCAGTGAGAACGCCTTCACCACCGGTAGCGTCTCTTGCAGTCGGCTACGGGGTGGTGGGGAAGGACTATCCTCGTGCTCAGAAGCGACCGCCACCGTCACCCTCCCCTCCGCTACAACACACCCCTGAGAACCCGCGCCCAGTACGAATATTTTTAAACACCGTCCGCCGCCGCCGCCCTAAACCCGACCTATATGACTCGCACTGTGAAAAACAAAACAAACAGATGATAATAATAAACAAATAAAAAATTTACAGTTTCCCGGCGGTGTGTAAGTACAGTCGTCTTAATGTCAACTCGCTGTTCCTTCCSCATGGTCCGCTACATATTATCGCCATGACGGACTGGTTTATTGCGCTAATATAATGTTTRTCACTCAATCGTTTCGGTACGTTAAAAAACGCGGTAGAAAGTGAACAGGTACACAGACGACAACAATAACGTTTATTCGTGAAAATGGCAAAAGCGAACCGTTTCGTGTACGACTATAGAATAATATTATCATTTGCCGCGGTACCACACCACAATATAGGTAATGGATATCCACGTGTTTCGGGTACGAATCGAACTATCGAAGCGGCGAGTAACTGAGAAAATCTCGCGGTGAACCACTCGAGAAAAACGGCCGATCGWAAGCGTTTGGGCAACTGTTTTGTGATACAAATTTAAATACATATTTTATTTGCCTCGGTGCGAAATCTAGGTCAATTTAGAAATGTTCATTTGAAAATGGGCCTTTCATTAGGATCGGTTAAAAAATTAAAACTCGGCGAGTCGATAACTTGCAGTCTATCCGGCGCCGACGTGTTTATTATATAATATTTTTCAACAGCAATAGATTTATAATATAATAATATGTAATTTGAAATTACTAATTTCCATAACTATGTCCTAATAATATAATGGCAACAATTATAATAATGTGTTGTCGAACCGCTTGCACTCATTGCGTTTTCGTGCAGTTTAACCAATGTAAAAGAAAGTAATTTCATTCACTCACAACCGTACTAATATTATAATAAATAATAATATATACTGGTAAATTATTTTGATGGTATATAACACGCACTTGTTGCAAACCATCATAATAAAAATAACGATGATGATGATAATAATGATAATAATAATAATAGCAATAATAATAGCGAAAACTTATCATTATACGTAGGGACAGGAATCAAAAGAACGGTGTATAAGTTATGATGGGATGTGCAAGTATATATAGCGCGTAAGTTCGTTTTGTCTGGCTAAAGCGATGAGTTTCTCCTCTAGACGACCCTTCGTTCACCCACCACCCRTTGCCACCGACTGCAGTATAAGGAAGAAAAAARAGAAAAATACAAGAGGTAGGAACACCGACGATCATTAACTGAATGACGTTCGTGTATTATATGTGTTGGAAAGGATATTCACTTCCTTTTAATGCGCACTATATATACATATCCAGCCAAAAATATGACCCCCGATGATATAGGAAACATCAAACATTGTGAGTGTATGCAGTTTTTGAAACTATAACATAACTCTTACGATACGACTGTCTATAATATGTACTTGCAGATTTCATGAAAACCCATATACCTTCATGCRCAACTTACAAAAAAACTATAATATTTGAGTTTGCACTATTGCCGTTGCAATACATGCGAATTACCGTAGTGATATTACATCGCGACAAGATAATTACAAAACGAATCATAATTTRTGTATTTCTAATGAATTAATACAAAGATCTCTTCTAGTTATTGCGCGAACGCTTRCAATTTATTTTACRAAATGACATATGATCATAGCTGAAGAAAAATATACATACTAACATTCAAATGTTRRATGCGCAAAYTTAGGAGGACTTATTAAATTTCTACTTAAGAAATATAATTTTATGATAGCAAAGTTTCGAACAAAAGTGTTCAACCAACCGTATAAAACGGCTGAATATAGAGTTTGGAGTTCTTATCAAATAGTGTTGCCAAAAACACAACAAAACAGAATAAGTACACACACGATAACAGCTTCCAAAGTGAACAGTCATGTCATGGACGACAAATCCAAATGAAAAAACAATAATCCCTCTTCCTCCAGGATCAACGATCCGACGCTAGTGGAAAATATAATATGCTTGAGATGCGGTTTTTACAACAAACATTGTTTTAAGTGGAATAATTTCGAATTAGGTCAACAAGTTTACTTAACGTAGACGAGAAATTATTTGTAATGTTCTGTGTTTTATTTTATTTTGAGAAAAAAAAGTACGTAAATATATACATCGAAATAACATGAAATAAATTTAAATAATACTTAAKCCACTAATTTGTTTACACCATAAACCACTTTGATAAATTAAAATGTAACTGAAATAACAATAATAAAATAAATTAATATAGACTATGCTAAAATACTTTGTATGACATATTTTGATGTACTAAAAAAAAAAAATAAAATCTAGTTTAAAAATAATCACTTATTATAGTTATTATATTTTATGTGAATTCAGTTGTATAACTTATAACTTTAAATAAAAATATATAGTATTAAAATTTCACAAACTACCAACTAAGAAGGTTTTTGAAACATTTAAGCAATGAATCAAACAGCTTTCACTAGCGGAACCTTGTACATTTTTTTTATCATATTACGTGCATACGCATTTATTATTATTATTTTCTTTTTGATATTGCAATATTCTCMCCCAAAACTGTACAATACTCGCTATTGACATGAAAAGTGTATAAAATGTATCAATGAAAACTCGTTAAGAAACAACTTTCTGTGCTCACAAATACGCCTACCATTTATTTTCGTGAAATTGATTTAATATAATATCACTCTACGAAGTCATCATAACCCATGTTGCAATAAAAGGTCACACACCTCACCCACTCCTTTCTTATATTTGAAGAACCACMTCCAGTATGCAACACAAGCAAGGAAAATCTCTTGATCGACCACATCGACATTAGATGCCCAAACTACACTAAAGCAAGGGGCATTTTCGATGACCCAACATCCTTCCAACTTGCTCTCAACAAAGACAACAGATTTTTCATTATATTCATTTAAACCACAAATTGTAAATATCTTTAAATACTACGTTCATGTTCATGTTTATTACATTTTAGACTAATAATCAAAAAAAGCCATTATAATAATGAAAAAAAATATATCATTTTMTTATTCTATTATATTATTATTTATATCAATCATCGCCATGATATTATTTTTATTTTTTGACCGCATGTACGTAAATACATATTATTTAATTTAGAGACTAATATAGTAATTTTTTTTTACCAATTATCAAATTATTTTGATTTATTATTACTGTTCTACACTACGTTTTGTTTTCCTTTTAACCGTGATATTGTACTAAGTGTGGTTTTAAAATAGATATAAAAAAGTAATACAATAAAAGGTTATTTTTGGAAATTAACTTTACTTATTGTCTCATTGTTTATAAAAGTTTCTGCTATTATTTAAAATGATAATAAACGATACTATTTTTCAATCGTTGTAGACAGATAACGATGATAATTTAATTATGAGAGTAAAGTATACTAATATCRTAAAATTTTTTTGCAAAGTCACCGGAGTAACAATTCAAAGTATACTACAGAATAATAGAATAAATTGTACATGGTAATGCAAATGAAAAATAATCCTGTCTRAGATTATGATGATAATGTGTGAGGTTAAGTCATTATTTCATTCCATAAAGAATATTTACAAACAAACATTAAAGTAATAAATAGAGTATCAAGAGAGTTACGGTAAAATAGGGTTAGTTGAGTACACATTAAATTTAAATAGGTACTATAGATTTAAGAAGAATACGATAAGAAAATACGCGTTTAAATCATTTTATATRAATGTCCACATAAACCTATTACATTAATATTTATATAGTAAAATAATAAAAGTAATAATAACTTATAGTMTTATAATAATAACAATAAAACATAAACTATAACAATAATTCAAGGTAAAATTGTTTCACAGAGAAAGAAATCGAAAAGTTATAAACAAAATTGTATTATTCAGTATAATAATTGTTTGAATATAAAATATAATATATCAACCGAAACACCAGAGTAAACAAATTTGAAATACTCCTAAAATAACTCAGATAGGTATGTAATAGTTGGTCAAGTATTTAAAAAATTAAATTTGTGATGAAAATGTTGGTACATATTTTAGTTTTTAATACCATAATATTTTAATTTAATTTTTTAAGACATAAATTGTTTAGATTTTAATATTCAAAACGGGTGGGTAGAATAAAGTTACGGAATCAATGTCACGAAAATTATACCACGTATAGAGAATGGAAAATATAGGAAATTTTTGAAAACGTCGAGTAATTACAATTATTTGTTTTCAAATTCCAACATAATAATAAGCGAATCGATTTTGTTAAAACTGATTAGGCAAGGTAAAAATTAAGTAAAAATTCGCATGTTTTCATAATTTTTGTTTTTCCAATCCTTATGAAAATCGCTAGGAGTTTTTTTACCTTACCTACAAAAAATACCAACGAGATTCAACAAGGTACCAGGCAACATATTATATTAAAGTTGAAAATCTGAGTATTGATAGGTATTGCTCCAAAAAAAAAAGAAGATTGGCTCAGAAAAAATAAATAATAGTAAA